GGGTTGCAGCTACTGGCGCCTCTAAAAATCAGGCCATTAAAACACGTCACATAATCCTTTGTTTTATTTTAACTTTACAAATGTTTAGCATCATCATGGCATAATAAACCCAGCCTCTTACATGGACATTTTATGCTGTATTTTTTACTGAGTACTGGAAATGCCATTCAATTAATAGCTACAGCTTTAAGTTCTTCCCACTTACCATCAAGATCTAGCGTGGCAAGCTGAGAAAGGAAGCATCATCATTCAGACAGAAATAATGGCAGTTTTGTGCACCTCCTATGCTAGAGAGGGTTCTAATGGGTCAAATCCCTGGCTGGTGTAAATTGGAATAGCTCTGTCAAAGTCAGATAAAGCTATGGCAGTTTATACTAGCTGAGGATCTGGACCTACAGATCTGCCTCATCCTTCATTTATAACTCAGGTATTTATAGAAAGCATGACTTTGAAATAACTGAACACTAAAATCTGAGTTGTGGTTTTGATGGAAATCTGGATTTTACCATGTCCTGGCTGATATGGGCTAAAAAGACTAACAATGCAGCAGATATCAGGCTGCAGTTCAATTTTTAAGAAATTGTCTCTTAATTAGAAGTGCTTCATCTGTGACCTTTAGGTTTTCTTGTTGCATATGAGCTTTAAGAAAGAATTGCTTTAGCAAAAGCAGACTAAGGACAGCTAAGAAGGAGGCAGTATGCTTCATATGCATGTTTATTTGGAGGCCCATAAACTAATGTTGAAAAAGGGATTCCATGAAGAGGGGGCCCTCATTAGTTTTCAGCATGACAGGTGAGATGCAAAGCAAAAAAACCAAAACAAACCTCTGTGTGCTCTTTATTGCTTCTTTATGATCATAGAATCATAGACTGTCAGGGTTGGAAGGGACCTCAGGAGGTCATCTAGTCCAACCTCCTGCTCAAAGCAGGACCAATTCCCAACTAAATCATCCCAGCCAGGGCTTTGTCAAGCCTGACCTTAAAAACCTCTAAGGAAGGAGATTCCACCACCTTCCTAGGTAACCCATTCCAGTGCTTCACCACCCTCCTAGTGAAAAAGTTTTTCCTAATATCCAACCTAAACCTCCCCCACTGCAACTTGAGACCATTACTCCTTGTTCTTTCATCTGGTACCACTGAGAACAGTCTAGATCCATCCTCTTTGGAACCCCCTTTCAGGTAGTTGAAAGCAGCTATCAAATCCCCCCTCATTCTTCTCTTCTGCCGACTAAACAATCCCAGTTCCCTCAGCCTCTCCTTATATGTCATGTGCTCCAGCCCCTTAATCATTTTTGTTGCCCTCCGCTGGACTCTTTCCAATTTTTCCACATCCTTCTTGTAATGTGGGGCCCAAAACTGGACACAGTACTCCAGATGAGGTCTCACCAGTGTCGAATAGAGGGGAATGATCACATCCCTTGATCTGCTGGCAATGCCCCTGCTTATACAGCCCAAAATTCTGTTAGCCTTCTTGGCAACAAGGGCACACTGTTGACTCATATCCAGCTTCTCGTCCACTGTAACCCCGAGGTCCTTTTCTGCAGAACTGCTGCCTAGCCACTCGGTCCCTAGTCTGTAGCAGTGCATGGGATTTTTCTGTCCTAAGTGCAGGACTCTGCACTTGTCCTTGTTGAACCTCATCAGGTTTCTTTTGGCCCAATCCCCTAATTTGTCTGGGTCCCACTGTATCCTATCCCTACCCTCTAGCGTATCTACCACTCCTCCCAGACCTCATTTGTTGTTCTTCTTTGGTTATATTGTAACTATCTAGTCTTGATGTATATTTTCTCTTCTGGAGAATTCTGTCAGTCTTTGGAAGACTTCACTTGGAATGTGACTTCACATCTGGAGGTTTAAACCTGAGCTCTGGTTCTATGGACCCAGCCCACTTGAAAGGAGAAGGGAGAAAAAGCTGAAAAAGCTGCAGCTCAGGTTTCAAACACTCACTTCTGAGGTCGTGGATCTGGTCTTCCAAAGCCTGTCCTCTAGGAAAAGCCAAGCCAAGACCAGAAATTTCCAATGTAAAAAGAAGTAGGAATAACTCCATCTCTTTGGAGCTTTCTTTATGTATAAATGAGCAGTAAAGAATCCAAAAAAAATAGTTTTGTATTTTATGTCCTGTGCAGTTTGCCTTTAAATTACTCCTATGATTCCCTCTCCAATGTGACTGTGTGACTCAGTGCCTGCAGCTCTAGACTACTGCATCTATTAGGATTCGGAATCTGAAATGTAATGTTCCCAACTTATATTTTCATTATTCTGTAACTCCCACCGGAGTACAAGAACAGAGCTATAAAATATAACTCTGTTAATATTAAAGTGGTGATGTTAGTAGTAATAAGTGTAAAAAAAAATCCAGGCTTTTTTATATTTTATTTTAAGATCAAAATACCTCACTGCAAAAACATTTAAAATGTCTTGAGCTTGCCCAATGCAAAAAAAAAAAAAGGTGAGGAGGAACAATAACATTACTGTAGCTCTCAGATAGAAATTCTTGTTTTGGAATGTAACCAATTCTAGTTACTCATCTGCTGTGTTTTTATTCTGGGGCAGTTACACTCACATTGAAAACTATGGACCCTGTCCTGCAAACATTTAGATATGAGATACTTTACTCATGTGAAACTAATGGGCCTCCTTGTGGGAGTGATTTGCAGGATCAGGCCCTAAATCTGTATTATCGAATTACTTGTTTTATGTAAACAGAACTGGGCTGTCCATAGAACTTAGCTCAAACAATGGATTGCTCTTAGATGGCTGTACAGAATTGGATTCATAAGTATATATTGCTCTATAGCAGCTGGACCATGAGTAAGAGGTAGGGGAAGGGACAATCTTACAAAAATCTGCCAGGCAATAATAGTAATGTATGGGTGACTTCATTTTTATATTGTGTTTTTCTGTGTAAAAATGTAGCAATAATTGTTCCTTAATCAAATTTAATGCAAATGTGTGTGTATAATAAGTGATATAGCTCTCATGTAGAAAAACAACTGAACTGTCCTCTAGGGATTTCATTGTGTATAAATAAAATTCCTGAAGACATACATGCTTGCTTACCATAATTAGCAGAGAGTTGGAAGAATCTTGGGAACATTTCATAAGGATGTTTTCTTTGATTTAGTTCACTTATCTGTTTCTAATTATAGTATTTTGATTTTAATGCTACTGTTTTGGCTCTTGACATGCACATCATGCCCAATGAGTTCTCACTGGGTTTCTTAAATCATTTTATGAAACGAAGATAAAATGAATCCAGGAAAGTTTTTTACAATCAAATGTGCTTGCAAAAGAAATTGCAGAACTGAGTGAAATAAATAATTAGGTGATATCTATGAGCTGGATGGATAGATGAGGAACAGGAGATCTGAAACCTTCTGGCACAATTTGTTACTTTCCATTTATCATGCGTAAAATGTTTCATGATTTGATATTTTATGTGGATTTATTGTCAGGAAACTATTGTCTGCCTGGAACAGTTCACAGAATAACCCAATTCTGAACTGTTCTAATAGAATTGTTTTGGGAGGGAATGAGTGATTGAACCTGGCAGTATTTTAGGAATGAATCTTAAAATTCAAAACCTCCAGAAATATTCTCAGCTATGCTCCAAGGGTTAGGTAAAAAGTGTTAGATTAGTAGCATGCCTGGATGCCTGAAAATTCCAATTAACTTCTCTGAGACCAGCATTTGGTCCAGGGACACGAGACTCTTTCTGGAACAGATGGGAGCATATACAGGTGAGGTGCGCTACGTCAGAACAGAACGGGCAACAATGCACTGGCTGAGAGAATAGAAACCAGGAGAGAGTGAACAAGTGAACAGAGGATAGGAGGCAAAGGCATATGGAGTGGGGGGTGAGGGAGGGAGGGAGGGATGCTGTGCAAAGGCCAACAGCGAGGAAGGAAAAGGCAGCTAAAATAAACAGATGGGGTAGACAGAGAGGAAAATAATATTGGACAGTGTAACGGATGACAGAAGGCCTCAGGAAGGAGAATCTAAAAAGAGAGAGAGATCAGCAAATATGAAGGAAGGGTCACTCAAGGAAGTGCATCTGTGTAAATGCAGAGGCATTGGGAAGAGCATGGTGGGAGCACAGCATTGTGGTATTGGTTCTAGTGTGGGGAAGCAAAACAATCTCTGCTGGCTAACGGGGAAGTAGATCGTTCAGAGGAGAGCAAAAAACATGGGAGCAGGCCTGGGGTGGAGTGGGAAGACTAGCCATATGTGTCGAGAAGTTCAGAAGTAAGGAAGAGAGGAGTGAGCTGGATGAGCTACAGCTATGACAGTCTTGTTATGGGAATAAGGGGATGATCACAGAATTCAAACGTGTGCATGGAAAGAACAAATTGGTGAGAATAGGAGAGATCAGCTGCCCAAACATAAACTGGAGCATAGGAACTGGAGGAAATAAATTGAGCAGTAACATTACAGCTAGGGTGCAAGATTTCTTCCTCAGATAATAATGAAAATGAGTGGAGATGTCAGAACCGAAGGCATGTTTAGGCCATAATAACCATTATCTCCTTAGTCAAACTAAGAACACAGTTCTAAAGAGTCCGGTCTTGCAAGCTCTCCCAGTGCCTACCTCCCGTGATTTCAAAGAGATCTCGAAGCACAGAAGGTTCACGGGATTGGGCCCAACTATTCACAGTATTTAGAAAAGGCCAGGTCCTGCAAAGTGCAGAGTAGATTCCTGGATGTCAAAAGTGAGAACATGAAAAGGAAAAATAAGGACTATGAATTTTGGCAGTGTAAATTTGGAACAAATACTTGGAGCAGGTAAGATTTAATGGAGGAGGAGAATGAACAAAGAGAGACAGTAAAAATGGAAAGTGTGCAAAGATCCATCTGCTAATGTTTCCCCCAAAGTTTAGTGTGTGCTGAATAGTGGTAAATGCAGTAGGAATAAAATCGGAGTGGCTAAAACATACAGTCCTAGTCTGGTGCAACTTACCTTTAAATAGTGTAAAATATAATGTTCTTTTGGCTTTTCCTCAGGCAAGACAGCAAGCACAAATACGACATCAAATGGCAGAAGACAGCAAAGCAGAATACTCATCCATTCTTCTGAAATTTAACCACGAGCAACGCGAACATTATCACACACACATACCAAACATCTTCCAGGTGAGATCTCCTAGTACTGACTTACAGCAGCCCGTGTTCTCGGTGTGGCTACATCGACTAGATACATTGCAATGTATTGGTGGTAACCAGCTTAATTCTGTGATACCAGTTCTTCGCTCTGCAGAAACCGCAGCACCACATTAGCAGACACTGGACATGATGCAACAACCAGGATCTCTAAAAGAAGTTGCTCTCTTTTTGGTGGGAGCAACAATTCCTATGAATCCAAAGAGATGTTATGGAGTTCAGTCTACTAAACTCCCTCTGACCTCTGAGCTAGCTACCAGACTGATTGATAATGTGGGAGGTGGGAATCTGTTAGTTGGTATGGTAGGAGGGGGCATGCCTGATGACATTACTCATAGTCTCGTTTTATTACACTCTACGTCCATGCATCTGGGGAATGAGAGCATTGCTTGCATTGTTGGGGCAGGAATCAACTGAGAGAATTGTCATCTATAAAACCGTATGCTCCTTTGTGATCTGTTTTCAAACCTAGATTTCAAAGATGTTTAGATTTATACCACGTTAATGTTGGGCAATAGCTTAATGGATGTCAAGGGGGCAGATGCTTACAGTTTGATTACATTTACTAAAAATGTCAGATGATGATCAAAAAAGACATTGCAGAGAGAAAGTTAAAACTGCTGTGCTTTTTATTCATGGTCATTCAAGCCAATGTCTAGGATAAATTATTCCAAGGTATTTTGTGTTATTAAAAAAAGCAGCATCCCCAGGCCATGTATACACTTCTTACAAGGCCTTTAGAGACCATAAAACTTTGGATCTGGTAAGCACACTGAATTGAACTTACATCCTTGGCTAAGCATAGTTTGGGTGCCGGTGCATTACCAGTGCTCCAGAAAATTCCCTTGCTTTGCTTTAAGTGTTAAAGTAGCGTTCAGAGAGCTTGTTTTACTTTTAAAAGAATAATATCAGAGTGTTCTTTCCTGTAATTGTTTCATTTTTCTGTTGATCATGGTCGGGTCACAGTTTAACAGGAAAAAAATGCATATGAGGGGGTGGTTCTCAGCAGTCAGTGTCCTATCAGGTCTTATGTTTCAACATGAAACATGCACCTTTGACACCTGGACACACACTGTGCCTCCTATTATGATCCATCATAACAGGAATATGCAACATCTGGTTTTCCTGTGTCCTAAACCAGAGGTCAATGGAACAGATACTGGAGATCCTTGGCACTCTCTGTAGTGATCAATAGGGCGCCTATGTTGAGATGCCCTGATGTAAACGGTATAAAGTAATGTGGAGATTACTCTGAGGCCATCCTTTGATCTCCGATATCACTAAACCGTACATTACATGAGAATAACCATCTTAATTTGCCTGGGTTTAAAGTCTTATTTAAACAATTATTATAACAGGAGCTGTTTTGTTGCAGAAATTAAAATTAATTGAAACTGTGAAATAACTTTTGATGTTTGATCAAAGTGAAATGTAATGTTTCAGAAAATACAAGAGATGGAGGAAAGGAGGATAGTGAGGTTAGGCGAATGCATGAAAACCTATGCAGAAGTGGACCGCCAGGTGATCCCCATAATAGGGAAGTGTCTGGATGGAATAACAAAGGCAGCAGAATCAATTGATCAGAAAAATGTAAGTGTTGAATGTTGTATCTTCTTTCTCCTGTGTTCTTTATTATTTATTAGTTGTATAGTATAGGGGGAGGGATAGCTCAGTGGTGGGGGAGGGATAGCTCAGTGGTTTGAGCATTGGCCTGCTAAACCCAGAGTTATGAGTTCAATCCTTGAGGGGGCCACTGAGGGATCTGGGGCAAAAATCAGTACTTGGTCCTGCTAGTGAAGGCAGGGGGCTGGACTCAATGACCTTTCAAGGTCCCTTCCAGCTCTATGAGATAGGTATATCTCAATATATTAACAAGTCGGGAGCTAGAACCCTGTTGTACTAGGCACTGTACAGATACAGAACATAAAGATGGTCCCTGCCCCAAATTGCTTACAACCAGCTACAGTCAGGGCCGGCTCCAGGCACCAGCGTAGCAAGCAGGTGCCTGGGGCGGCCAATGATGAGGGGGGCGGCACATCCGGCCGTTCGGCGGCGGGGCCGTCACTCCCTCTCGGATCGAAGGACCTGCCGCCAAATTGCCGCCGATCGCGCCGCTTTTTTTTTGTGTGTGCTTGGGGCGGCAAAAACGCTAGAGCCGGCCCTGGCTACAGTAACTCCCCACCTAAAGTCCTCTTGCTTAACGTTGTTTCGATCTTACGTCCCTGCTCAATTACAGAACATGTTCCATTTAAAGTTGTGCAATGCTTCACTATAATGTCATTTGGCTGCCTGCTTTGTCCACAGCTGGCAGCCCACTATCAGCTCCCCTACGCCCCTCCCCTCCCCCAGCACCTCCCGCCCGCCGGCAGACCCTGTGGATCAGCGCCTTCCCCTTCCTCCCCCTGCCTCCTGTCCATGGCAATCAGCTGGCTTGCGGCGTTCAGGAGGGAGTGGGGAGGACTCGGTGCGCAGGTTCCCCCTGCCTCCCGAACGCCGCAAGCCAGCTGATTGCCACGCAGGAGGTGGGGGGGATGGAGGGGGAGCCTGCGCGCCGTGTCCTCGCTCCTCCCCCCGCTCCCCGAATGCCGCAAGCCAGCTTATTGCTGCTGGCAGGAGGCAGGGGAAGGCGCGAGGACGCGGTGTGCGGAGTAAAGAGGGGGGGAAGAAGAGGCGGGTTAAGGGTGGGGGCTTGGGTGAAGAGGTGGCATGGGCGGGCAAAGGGTTGAGCCCCCGGCCCCTGGTGCTTGCAGAGTAGGGGAAGCTGCTGCTGTGCAACGTGCTTCTCCTAGCCTACAGCACCTTCAGCCTCCTTGCCTGCCTCATTGTCTCCAGTGCCAGTGGGCTGTGCCTGCGTGGGGTAAGACGGGGGGGCACCTCTCAACTATAGTACTGTACTGTATGGCAAAAAAAAATGTCCCTGGAATCTAACCCCACCCCCCCCATTTACATTCATTCTTATGGGGAGATTGGATTTGCTTAACATCGTTTCACTTAAAGTCGCATTTTTCAGGAACAGAACTACAACGTTAAGTGAGGGGAGTTACTGTACACTGTTAAGAAAAAAATTGAAACACAGAACTTGCACCCAAACCCAGTTAGTGCACAGAAAAGGTGTTCCCTTATCACATATTGACTAAGGATAGCTCTAGTGCGTGTTTTATTTTATGAAAGATAGTTGCTTTGTCTTCTTCTTACAGAAAAAAATCTGTTCTTCTCACAGATGTATTTGTTTAGCAAGTTAATCCATAGGGTCGTTTGTCTTTTAAGAAGGAAAAGTTTCTTTACCAAATTTACTCCATTAACATGTATTCTATACATAAATGTTTTGTTCGGATGTATTGAGATTAGATAATGTGTTCTAAAGATGTGGCTGTTAGGGCTTGTATACACTACACAGTATTGTTGACAAAAATCGGCTTTCGTCAGCAAAATAGTTTAGGTGTACACATTTGAAATGCTCTTCTCACTGATGTAACTCCCCTGTTTCACTGAAAAAATAAAACCACCTCGACAAGAGGCATAGAGCTTTTTGCAACATAATTAGAGTGACGCAGCATCAGTGTAGACAGCACTTGCGTATGTCACCCTAATTGGCCTCCAGGAGCTGTCCCACAGTGCCCATCATGACCGCACTGGTCAGCAGTTTGAACTCCACTGCCCTGAAGGTACACAGGCATGTGCCGCTCTCCCGTTTAAATACCTGGGAATTTTTGAATTTCCTGTTTGGATGGCATAGACTATTCACACAGCATCTTCCCAGGTGACCATGCTGGCTTTCTGCAACAGACAGGCTCCCACATGGAGTGTGCCGGAGCTGTTGGATCTGCTGGGTCTGTGGGGAGAGGAGGCTGTGCAGTTGCAGCTTCGATCAAGTCGTAGGAACTTTGATATCTATGGGCAGATTGCTCGTGGCATGCAGGACGAGAGACACAAAAGGGACATGCAGCAGTGCCATGCTAAGATCAAGGAGGTGCGGCAGGCATGCCAGAAGGCAAGAGAGGCCAACTGTTGCTCTGGTGCAGCACCAAAGACATGCTGCTTCTACAAGGAGCTGCATGCCATCCTCGGTGGCAACCCCACCACCAAGAGCCCTATGGATACATTGGGCTGGAGGCAGCGGCCAGTGGAGTCAACCCTGAGGACGAAGTGGTGGATGAGGAAGTGGAGTTGGAGAAGCATGTGGGACATGCAACAGAGTCGTCCAGTGGCGTGTCAAGCCAGGATCTATTTTTGACTCTGGAGGGGTCTAGCCAGACCCAGCACTCTGACTCACATGAAGCAGGAGAGGCAAGCTTTGGTAAGCATGCGTTTTGCTTGATACTGCACAGTGATAGGAGATTGAGGTCTCATTTACTTTGTTATATGGTAGAGAAGGAATAAGAGATAGAAATTAACAACAAAGCCTATGTAGCTATGCATTGGGGGCCCTGCGGAAAAGTTTGTTAATGTATACTGGGATGTCTTGGGAATCCTCCATAGGAAACTTTCGTGTAGATACTCTGCAATCCTCTGCCAAAGGTTCCTTGGCAAAGCTGTCTTGTCTCTCCCCCCGCTCCATGCCAACCGGCAGGGACCAAAGTGGCATACAGGTGAGCAGCATATGGACCCAGCCTGAAACTGCACACATGCAGGAGATGCACCCTTGCATCCTGGGTTACCCTCAGAAGTGAGATATCGGGTTCGATTACCCAAGCCTGTGGAAAAAGGTGCCAATATTCAGAATCCTCTCCCTAGGCGCATGTAGTGACCCTCTTCGCAAACCATCCAGTTAATGAAAAACTCAGGCTGGATAGCCTGGAAAGGAGATGATAATAGATGAACAAGAGTGGATGATAAAGCTACTGGAGGGCCAGACAGAGAGGCTCAAGTCCCTCATAGTGCTGCAGTCTGAGCACATCCGTGCATGACTCCCTCTGCAGCTAATACAGAACGCCATTCCATGCCCTTCCCAAACTCCCCCAACACATTTCTTCCATGTTCCTGTTCCGTCACAGTACCCCTTGCACTCCACCCTGAGAGCCTGGTTTCATGAAGAAAGCTGGAGTTACACACAACTGGAAAGTCTTAACCGAGAGACACTTTCTCATTGCCGTGTCCCCAGTTTGCCAAAAACAAACAAAAACAAAAGTTTTATCCTTTAATTAAAGTGTAGTCTTTGAAACAAAATGAGTCTTTATTTGTGTCATGCACATGGTCGTTGCTGCTAAAATTCAGATACAGTGGCTATAGGCAGGAACATTTGCTCACTAGAATTAAAGGTCAGGAAGCAAGCATTACAAGGGTCATTCAAGGTGGCAAGTAAACATTGTCTGTCTGAATGCATCACATAAAGACACATTACTGGGCCTCATTGTCAAAATGCTCCTTCAAAGCCTCCCTGATTCGAAATAGCCCCCCATTGAGCCCCTCTAATTGCCCTGGTATCTGACTGCTCAAAACCAGCAGCCAGCCAATCCACCCCAGCTCTCCACCTCTGGGTAAACTTTTCCCCCTTCGTTTATAACAAAGCAAATGTTATGCAGAGCACAGCAGGCTGCTATGATCATTGGAATATTTTCCTCATTGAGGTCTAACCTGTCAAAAAGGCAGCGCCAGCAACCTTTTAATCTGCCAAAGGCACGTTCAGTGTTCATTTGCCACCTGCTGAGCCTGTTGTTTGAAGCACTCCTTGCTACTGTCTAGGTTCCAAGTGTAAGGCTTCATGAGCCATGGGAGCAAGGGGTTGGCAGAGTGGGCATTGCACATCCCCCATTGGAATCTTCCGGTCTGGAAAGAAAGTCCCAGTGTGCAGCTTTCTGTACAGTCCAGTGTTCCTAAAGATGCGTGCCATCATGAACTTTCCCTGACCAACCCACATTGGTGTCAGTTTGATCTGGGACCAAAACTGGGATATGCGTGCCATCTATCACCCCACTGCCGTTAGGGAATCCCATTGCTGCAAAGCCATCAGTTATTTCCTGCACATTACCCAGAGTCATAGTCTGTTGTGGCAGGGGGCAATTAATGGCTCTGCACACTTGCATCACCGCAACCCCTACGGTGAACTTTCCAACTCCAACCTGATTCGTGACTGATCGGTAGCAGTCTGGATTTGCCAGCGTCCACACAGCGATTGCCACTCGCTTTTCCACTGTGAGGGCAGCTCTTATTCTGGTATCCTTGCACCGCAGGGCAGGGGCGAGCTCTGCACACAGTTCCAGGAAGGTGGCTTTCCGCATCTGAAAGTTCTGCAGCCACTGCTCGTCATCCCATACATACATCATGATGCTATACCATCCCTCAGTGCTTGTTTCCCAAGCCCAGTACCAATGGTCCACCTTGTGCAGCTGCTTCGTGAATGCCAGCTGTAATCTTGAATTGTTTCTTTCCATTGCACACAGCAGGGCAGGCACCACAGATTCACTTTTCTTCCCTGTTCATGAAATACTGCAGGACCAGCTGCATTGTGTTCATAATGCTCATCACCAGACTAGTCAGCAGTTCAGGATCCATGCTTTCAGGCAGAGATGGCAGGTGCACAGTTTACAGGGGCTATTCAAAAACGGCGCGAAATGAAGTCAGAAGCCCATGGAATGATGGGACGGAAATAACTGCATCATGAGACGGTGAGCATTCCCCCATGATGCACTGCAATCCGTTCCCAGATCTCCCAGCGGCAGAGGGTGGCTGGTTACACAGTGGGATAGCTACCCATGTTGCAATGATCTCTCTGTCGATGCCAGAGCACCAACTATGGATGCGCTTCGCTGACACAAGGAGTGTTCTCTGGATGTGGACAACTGATGTAATTAAAGCAGCATATGATCATCAACTTAACTCTGTAGTGTAGACAAGGCCTTAGTAAATAAGTTTCAGCATCAATTAGAAGATGAAGGGTATTATTACAGATAATTAGTGGTCAGTTCTTATGTGGCAGAAATGTTTGCTCTAGCTTTTCAACAGAACCACAAATCAAACTGAACGTTGCAGAAATTCGTTTATTTTAATTATTCTCATAATTAATGGAAATGCTAAATTCTGAGTGTGGAGCTGGACAGCCTACCTCGATCTGGGCTGGATTCAGCTTTGAAAATGAGCCAGCTTTCAGGCAAGGCTGAATGCACTGAGAACTGTTGATAGTATGTGGTTAAAGGAACACAAGCCAAGACTCAAAACCTGCCCTGGCAGGAAAAGAGCAACCCTGCTTTGGGTAAGTCAGACTGTGAGCTTTCATATGTAACCAGTGCAGAGATTAGACAGGAGTTCTTAGATGCAAGAAATTTTGGCATTTTGTTCATTGCAAGCACTAGTAGAGTATTCCCAACCCCAAGTACAGTACTCAAAAATCATGAGCTTGTTATATATAATAAATGTGGGATTCTTTTCATTTAGCTTTTGGGGTTTGAGCCTCTTGGGTGCACCTGAGCCATGTTTTCTAGCTTTCTACATAACCCTGATGGCTAGAAATTTGGTGGTTGTTTTTTTTAAAATGAAAGCTGGGATTCTCATGTAATAACATGACTCCAGGAATTGAGGCTTTAAGTAAAATACCAGATATTGTAAGACACATGAAAAAAATCACAGAAGTGGGCAACACTGCCTTTTGTACTAAAGTATCTCAAATTAACTCTGAAATACATGTGGGGACTTCTCCTTGTGAGACTTCTGGAAAACCATTTTTGTTCCACTTCATTATTCTGTGTTAAGAACTGACAGGATATATTGGATATATTTAATATTCATTACACATTAGCTGGAAAGAAAACTGAAAGACTCTCCTATCCACCTCCAAAGCTGCCAGTTTTTCAGGCTTAATTTATTTAGTTATTGCACTTGTTGAAAAGTAGTATACTTGCTAAGAATCAAATTCTCCCTTCTCCTCAGTATGCAGAACTCCAACTAAAATCACTGGGGAGTTGCATGGATTTATCTGGGACTAGAATTTCTCTCTGTATTTCTAATATACTTACTAGGAGCATGCGACTTTTTTCCATTCCTTTTCATAGTAACTCTAGTAAGGCAGATGTCATCATTTCAAGGCTAAACCACAGTGACTGTTAAGTGAACCTGTGTGGAATTTGCCTCTGCAGGCTCTGTCAGTAGATAGGATTAATTTGTTATGGACTTCTGAGTTCCTGTTATGACATTCTCGCTGTCTGATACACAGAATGAGATGGTTATTTTTAGCTCCATTGTAGTGGTAGGATGTTTGGACAATGTGGAAGGAGAATGTGTATAATTAAAGGAGAAGAATTGAAAGGTTCAGAAGGACGGAATAAAGCACAAGTATATAATGTAACCTGATTTTTTTTTTCTCTCTTGCCACCCCCCAGCTCTTGCTTTCATGCTTATAATTAAACATCTTTAGAATTAGGCAAGTTTTAATGTCAAGCTAAGGTGAAACTAAAGTGCTTCAGTACCTCCTTTAAGGTTTATGGGGGTGATTTACACAGCACCTAATAGATTTACGAGCACAGATCTCATTAGCTTTCAATGGGATCCTTCCTCCTGAACCCCTTAGGTGATGTTGAAAATCTTGTATCTTGTCTTTGCTTAATTCAGGTCGGATATGTGCATATCATCCTAGGCTTCTTCCATATGCTCAAACGAATACAAACAGAAGCCACAAAATGTGGTCAAAGCACCACCCTTCTCTTTGAAGTGCAGTGACATGGCAGTATTCCTAATATCCATTAGCTAATGAGCCCTCTAGGGACTATGGCGCAATATCTCTGATGACCTGAGAGAGAGAAAATATCCATATGGTATGAAATGAAGAGCTTCCTCCCTAGAAAAGACAATAGATTATATGTATATTAAGGAAGGATGATAGGAGAAAATTATTATTCTTTAAATTCTTTCTGTGCTTACAGATTTGAAACATATATTCAGTGGGGTGAGGCTCATGATGGGACACTTTTAAAAACTATGGTGAATGGACTCGGCCAAAGTTTGTTTGCATTGCACCAGGGATTAATATTTTGTACATGCTAGATTTTGTTTGTGAGGTAGAGGTAGATTTACAGAACATCTCGGCTTCCATTTAGGCACCAGAATAAGTGGCCAGCAGATGTCCAGCACAGGATGCGGAGCACTCTTGCACATCTGGCCAGATTTGTAAATGCTGAGAGAATTTTGAAAATCTGGCCCCATGTGCTTTATGAAAAGTAGGCTCCTTTAAAAATCACAGCCTGTGTGTTTGAAAAGCCCACTGGATTAAAATGCATTTATGTAATTGCTGTGAATCGCACATTAGCAATTAGAAGATTTGCATCTGAAAATTTGCTACGTTTGTAGATCTAATGCACAAGAATGTTATGTATCATTACTGTTTTGGTTGGTTAGTTATCTGATAATAGGTAAAATAATTGCATGCAATATGTGGCCATTTTGTGAATGAGGTAATTGTCTATATCAGGGGTTCTCAAACTTCATTGCACCGTGACCCCCTTCTGACAACAAAAATTACTGAACAACCCCAGAAGGGGGAACAAAAGCCTGAGCCCGCCCAAGTCCCACCACCCCAGGTGGGAGAGGAGGGGCAAAGCCCGAGCCCCACCGCCCTGGGGGGGGGGGGAGCAAAGCCAAAGCCCCAGGGCTTCAGCCCAAGGCAGGGGGCCTTTAACCTGAGCCCTAACACCCACTGCTGAAGCCCTTGGGTGTCAGCTTCGGCTCTGGCTTCAGCTTCAGGCCCTAGCAAGTCTAAGCCAGCCCTGGCAGCCCCATTACAATGGGGTTGCGACCCACTTTTGGATCCTGACCCACAGTTTGAGAACCTCTGGTCTACAGAAATTCAATATGGACAGAAGGGCACACTGCTTTTCATAACAGCAGAAGACTAATTAGCATTTAAGTTGGTTCTCCTTAAGACAGCAGCATTTATCAGAGCTTTTGATATCTGGCTTGCAATTGCAAGCATAGCAATTCTATAATGGAAGGTTTGTATTGCACAAGATTTTTTGTGGATGCCCATTAGTGAACTTGAGTGCATGCAAAAGGTGTTATGAGTCACCTAATGCAAGCTGCCCATTCAAGCACTGGTGTTTTAATTTTTTCAAGGGAAATAAACAGGAATACTAATGAGCATTTACATAGTACTTTTGATCTGTGGACTTCAAAACACTTTATAAAGGTGATTAAGCATCATTTTACAACTGGGAAACTGAGGCACAGGAAAGTGAAGTGACTTGCCCAAGGTCATATAGCAGCTCAGTGAGAGATCTGAGAAAAGAACTCAGATCTCTTGACTCCCATTTCAATGTCTTCTTCAGTGAACCATGTTGCCTGTTTGATTTCTGATTGCATTTGGTGTTAGTGCTACATACTTCTTGTTTCTTTAGATCAGGGGCGGGCAAACTTTTTGGCCTGAGGGCCGCATCGGGTTTTGGAAATTGTATGGAAGGCCAGTTAGGGGAGGGGTGTGTGGCCCGGCCCCCACCCCCTATCCACCCCCCCAGCTTCTGGCCGCCTGACGGCCCCCCCGGACTCCTGGCCCATCCAAACCCCCCTGTTCCCTGACGGCACCCCTGTGACCCCTGCTCCCTGACCCCCCCCTCCCCCGGAACCCCTGCCCCTGACTGCCCTGCGCCACCCCATCCAACCCCTCCTCTCCTTCCTGACTGCCCCCCAGGACTCCTGCCCCATCCAACCACCCTTCTCCCTGACTGCCCCCAGAACCTCTGCCTCTGACTGCCCCCTGCCGCCCCATCCACCCCCCCCTTCTTGACTGCTCCCCCACCCAGGACACCTGCCCCCATTCAACCCCTGTTTCCCGCCCTCTGACAGCCCCAACCCCTATCCACACCCCCGCCCCCTGACCACCACCCCGAACTCCCCCGCCCTCTATCCAACCCTCCCTGCCCCCTTACTGCGCTGCTTGGAGCACCGGTGGCTGGCGGCGCTGCAGCCGCCCCACCCGGCTGGAGCCAGCCACGCACCGTGCAGCACAGAGCACCAGGTCAGGCTGGGCTCTGCAGCTGCGCTGCCACAGGAGCTCGTAGCCCCTCCGCCCAGAGCTTTGCACCGGCGGCGCAGTGAGCTGAGGCTGCGGGGGAGGGGCCGGGGGCGAGCCTCCCGGGCCAGGAGCTCAGGGGCCAGGCAGGAGGGTCCCGCGGGCCATAGTTTGCCCACCTCTGCTTTAGATGGTACTTAGTCCTTTGACCATTTAAAAATATTGGTGGTTAAAGAAGCAGTTGGTCTCAATGAGACCTTTGCACACTGGACTCCGATTTCACAGAGGAATGATGAACTGGGTGCTAACAAACCCCTTAGCAATTAGGGTGGTTTTGTTAAGCTATCACATGCTTCACTGTGACTAGGAGACTTTTTCCTCCACTACTCTTACACTGTTGTTCCGTTTACAGCCATTCTTTTTATTGGTTTGCAACATATGTACAGATTGTATTTGTGGCATTTCAGGATTCACAACTGGTAATAGAAGCCTTTAAATCAGGGTTCGAACCACCAGGAGATATTGACTTTGAGGACTTCACTCAGCCAATGAAACGCACTGTCTCGGAATCCAGCCTTTCAAATTCCAGATGGGATGGAAAATCTGAGCCCAGGCCTGGCAGCAAATCCAAGGGCAAATTGTGGCCATTCATCAAGAAAAATAAGGTACTGACTTGCAGACTTCCTTTCAGTGTCAGTATGTTTGTAGCCTTTAACGGCTTTCTTGTTTAGTAATCCTGGCAATTTAATTTAAGATTTAAAAAAAACCTGAACTTTAGTTTCAGAAAACTAATAGCTGATGTCCTATTATGGTGTTTTGTTATAGTCGTATTTTGTTGTTTACTTTTAAGATATTTTTATTTCTATATAATTTCTTAAATTGTGTTGCTCTTTGTTTATTTATCTTTTTAGTTGTCTTTGCCATGGTCCATTTGTTTCTAATTTAGATCTGGAATTGTATGCGTTTTACACAATGCTGTGCATGCCAACTAACTCACTCTGTTATTTTTGGGCAGCTTCACTCCAGTATTCTGATACTTCTAAAACTCTCCACAGCTTTTTATTTGCGTTATCATTTCAATCTGTACCATGGGTACATAGGGTGACCAGACAGCAAGTATGAAAAATCGGGACAGGGGGTGGGGGGTAATAGGAGCCTATATAAGAAAAAGACCCAAAAATCGGGACTGTCCCTATAAAATCGGGACATCTGGTCACCCTATGGGTACAGCAGTTGGGGAACCTGGAAGTGGGGAATGGCTGTAACTCATCTTTTCACAGCACATCTAACTGAGCCTTTAACGCACTATTATCATTTATATCCATTAAACTCTTCTCTCCATTGTCATATTTTACACCATGATGCATGGCAACATTTATCTGGGATTATCGGTCTGTATCAGGATGACTAGACAAATTCTGCTCTCTGTTACACCAGTGCAAAACCAGAAAACTCCATTGATTTAGCCTCATTCCCTGTTGCGCTTCTCCTTCCCTAGCTATTGACAGCAATTGCAAAGTGAGAGCAGAACATTAACAAATCAGAATGGTACATTCGCTGATGTAAATGATCGCCCGAAATGCAGGGCAAGAGAGAATCAAGCCCTCTGGTGCTTACACTCATGTAACCAACAGCAGAATGTGGCCTAATACCGCTCTCTCGTAAATTGGTAGTGTAATTTTAAAAAGATAAGTGTGGTATGCATAGAGCAAGGTGACTTGAAAGCAGGAAGAATGAGGCTTGTTGTTTTCCAGATGATAGAAACGCTACTGGGCACTAAGGTACCTTCCTAATTTGATTGGTGCAAATTCAGGTATTTGAAAGATCTATACATGTGCGTCATTCTGACCGGCCCACAGAACTAGCGCAGAGTAACCTATGGGAATAGAGTTTGCATGTAAGAGCCTGCATGAGCTTTCTGTCGAATTATTCCGTGTTGTTTTTTCGTTGCATTACTTACTAAAGCTCCCATTTTTATCACATTCTTCTTTTAACACAAATCTTGAACACTGTTTTCCCTCCCTCTTTTTTGAACCATGGCTTTAAATATTTAATTATTTGTTTTTAATTGCTTTTCCTGGATTTTGAATATTGTTTTTGATGCTTATTTTCGTTTTGTGTTTTATCTTTTTATTTTGGTTTTTTATTCTATCACTTCTCCATCTCTTATACGTAGCTTATGTCCCTTTTAACATCCCCCCATCAGCCCCCTCCTCCTCCCCCTGCCTCTGCCTCACCCTCTGCTGTTCCCAACGGCCCCCAGTCTCCCAAGCAGCAAAAGGAACCCCTCTCCCATCGCTTCAACGAGTTCATGACCTCCAAACCCAAAATCCACTGCTTCAGGAGCCTAAAGCGCGGGGTAAGTTCTCCTCTGGATACCGCTTGCTGTCTGTCTTTCTTGCGCTTTTATTGCACGTTCTGTTATGTAAAATCTTGTTTTGTGAATGAAGCCATTGTGTTTTACCATAACATACAGACAGACCCAAGGAATCCAATGCTATAAAGTCATTTGTAGTCAAAACCCCCACAACGAAACCACAAAAACAGATTCCTGTTTGAAATGACCGGTTCCTTTTGGGCAGAGGGTCACTTTCCTTTTCCAAAAGGTAGGAGACGTAATATTAAATAACTCTTCACCCAGAGACAAAATAAGTACCTCACCGAGTAGCACTAGGGCACAGAGAAGTTAAGTGAGAGTTTGTCCAAGATCACACAGCCTGTGGAAGAGCTGGGAAAGAACACGCTCCCACTCCGTTGGCCCATGCTGCCTCCCCCAGATTCAGGAGCACGAAGAATTGTATCGCAGCATTTCTAGATATGCCTTCCAGATGTTTCCCATTGAGCCTGCAGGATCTGTTGGATTCTGGACTGACTTTCGCTCCCCATGACTGAGAAAGGACGTGCACTATTTAGAATTCCATGCCATATGTAAGAACTTTACCTCTACACTCAGGGGGCTACAGGACACAGATAAGATCTCTTTTAAATAGCTCTGACAGAATGTGTCAGATGTTGCATTGTGGTGCGGCTGCTTTGCAGTGCGCTACCAGCGCAAAGGGGCCCAAAAGCAGCTGCCATTGCCATGGGAGTTTCACCCCAGTGGTAGATCAATCCTTCAGTGACACGGCGCTGTTGTTGCAGGTCCTGTGCTCCTGTCCTCCTTGCTTCTAGCAAAGTGGACATGACCAGGTCTTCCTCCACCCAAGTGATTCCTGCCTGACATATTGGCCTTTTGATGTCATTGGCAGCAGGCATAAATTAGAGGCCCTCTGGCTCTCTCACTTACTCCAGGCAGCCAGCCCAGATTGCGTAAAGCCACTGTTGCACTGCCCTCTCCTGAGTTGCGCTGTGCTCTCCTCGCCCGAAGCCAAGAATCTGGGCTAACATATATATGTGCACAGAGATGCTGATGTTTATAGAGCTCTATACACACAAGCACCTAATTAGATACCTGGAGAGAGAGAAACAGATTAGGGCTGTCAAACGATTAAAAAAATTAATTGTGATTAATCGCACTGTTAAACAATAATAGAATACCATTTAGTTAAATATTTTGGGATGTTTTCTACATTTTCTAAGATATTGATTTCAATTACAACACAGAATACAAAATGCACAGTGCTCACTTTATATTTATTTTTGATTACAAGTATTTGCACTGTAAAAATAAAAAAAAAAAAAAAAAAAAAAAATAATATTTTATTAAAAAAAAAAAGAAAAAGAAATAGTATTTTTCAAAAGCAACAGAGGGTCCTGTGCTTTTTACAGATTCAGACTAACACGGCTACCCCTCTGATACTTAGTATTTTTCAATTCACCTAATACAGGTACTGTAGTGCAATCTCTTTATCATGAAAGTTGAACGTACAAATGTAGAATTATGTAAAAAAAACCCTGCATTCAAAAATAAATCAATATAAAATTTTAGAGCCTGCAAGTCCACTCAGTCCTACTTCTTGTTCAGCCAATTGCTCAGACGAACAAGTTTGTTTACATTTATGAGAGATAATGCTGCCTGCCTCTTGTTTACTATGTCACCTGAAAGTGAGGACAGTTCTCATGGCACTGTTGTAGTTGGCATCGCAAGGTATTTACATGCCAGATGCGTTAAAGATTCATATGTCCCTTCATGCTTCAACCACCATTCCAGGGGACATGCGTCCATGCTGATGACGAGTTCTGCTCAATAACAATCCAAGCAGTGCGGACCGACGCATGTTCATTTTCATCATCTGAGACAAATGCCACCAGCAGAAGGTTGATTTTCTTTTCTGGTGGTTTGGGTTCTGTAGTTTCCGCATCAGAGTGTTGCTCTTTTAAGACTTCTAAAAGCATGCGCCACACCTTGTCCCTCTCAGATTTTGGAAGGCACTTCAGATTCTTAAACCTAGGTTGAGTGCTGTAGCTATTTTTCAAAATCTCACATCGGTACCTTCTTTGCGTTTTGTCAAATCTGTTGTGAAAGTGTTTTTAAAATGAACATGTGCTGGGTCATTATCCGAGACTGCTATAACATGAAATATATGCAGAATGCAGGTAAAACAAAGCAGGAGACATGCAGTTCTCCTCCACCCCGCCAAGGAGTACAGTCACAAATTTAATTGACGCATTATTTTTTTAACGAGCATCATCAGCGTGTAAGCATGTCCTCCTGAATGGTGGCCGAAGCATGAAGGGGCATACGAATGTTTAGCATATCTGGCATGTAAATACCTTGCAACGCCGGCTACAAAAGTGCCATGCGAACGCCTGTTCTCACTTTCAGGTGACGTTGTAAATAAGAAGCAGGCAGCAGTATCTCTCAACAATGTAAACCAACTTGTTTGTCTTATCGATTGGCAGAACAAAAAGGAGGACTGAGTGGACTTGTAGGCTCAAAAGATTTACACTGTTTTGTTTTTGATTGCAGTTATGTAACTAAAAGTTTACAGTTCAAAGTAGTACTAAAAAATTAGTTTCCCCATCAAAAAACCACTGGAAATTTGAAAGTTTCAAAGTTTGTCATAAAATAAGTGCCAAATTACACAACTTCCCTCACAAGAATATTTCCTGTTGACTTCTGAGGGGGGAGCTCATTCTTTCAGTTCTACATTGGAGGCTCTGCTTGTAGGGGTATCTCTGAGACAGCTGGATTCTGATAGGCTTGCTCAGGTTGAGTAGCACCTTCCTCCGAGATTCGCTCAAGTGATTTAAATGTAGGGTGACCAAATGTCCCGATTTTTTGGTCTTTTTCTTATATAGGCTCCTATTATCCCTCCACCCTCTGTCCCAATTTTTCACATTTGCTGTCTGGTCACCCTATTTAAATGGGACTACTCAGAGAGTGAGCAAAGGTATAACAGTCTGGCCTTGTGAAAGGCATCAGTGCGGTTCACTGAACAGTGTTGCCAAAACAGTGTTGGGTATTTCTAGCTTGTAAGAATGTCTTTTTTTATTTTGCACCACACAAAAGCCCTGTGGGTGCTTCAGAAATGTTTATTTCCAATGTTCATATACTTAGTTAGTAAATATTTGGCTATCTAAGCAATTATGACTAATCGCTTTAAACATTTTGTTCATGAACTGTCATTATACACTAATCATATGACAGTACTAAGAGAGCCTCTATTCAAGCTTTAATGCCCCCTCAGCCAAATTCACACGCGTATGTTGTATACGGTATAGTTTTTAACTGAGTCGAGTGAAAGCTGAAATTATAAAGGTAAAAAGCTCACCTAGCTTTCTTTAGAATCACTCTAATTACCCACTGACACCTTCATTTAAAAAACAACACACAAATATCTTGCTAAAGCCTCGTTAAACCTCTGGATGTGCTTTTCTGTATTTCACTTCCTTTTGTCGTTAGCTACCAAGCTGTTTGTGTGTAAACAGATACTTTTCCCTGTCTGATTCAGCGATACCACAAGCCAACGTTCAGAACATTACACGTTCTTCCGTGGGGCAAATTCAGGCCACTTCCTCCATATACAAGTACAGAGCAAAAGAGGCAACTAAGTTGTGTCAGTCTGCTATGGTTGTCTACAAAACTCATAAAGTTCACGTTCCGTTGATCTTTGGTGGCCAGAGTTACTAGGTGAAATTCTATGGCTCATCGTTATGCAGGAGGTCAAGACTATACAATCATAATGGTCTCTTCTGGCCTGAAAAACCTATGAACCTATCATATCTATATAAAAGGAGTATGGCTGGCATGTGTTAGTGCAGATATGGTCTAACCCAACCCCTCGTGTTTAGTGCAGGTTGATTGTAGCCCCGGCAAGAATATCTGCATTGGGCCACAGCTGTGTCAGAGTAGACATCTGGATTAATGCTGCTTTTACAGTATTGATATTATAAGGTATGCCTGTCCTGCCCTCCCCCCACATCCCCCGAATCAACAGGACCTGAATTTGGCACATGAGGATGACCTCTGATGTTACACATATTGGACTGTGGTGTTACTGAAGGAATTTGGCAGGAGAAGGTTGGGAGAAGGTGCCTATACTGAAGAAAGCTTTTATTGATGCACAGATGAGAAGCTACAGGTGGAAAAGAAATACAGGAACCCTATAGAACAGTGCGATTTAGGGGATATTTGGCAAAGCAAAAGTGTTTAGCTGACCAAAATGTTTCATTAGAGCTTGCTGTTGTCTATATGTAGATTCTTCAGTTAATCTAATCAATAAGGGCCTGACTCTAAGAACATAAGAACGGCCCTACTGGGTCAGACCAAAGGTCCATCTAGCCCAGTGTCCTGTCTTCTGACAATGGCCAATGCCAGGTGCCCAAGAGGGAATGAGCAGAACAGGTAATCATCAAGCGATCCATTCCCTGTCGCCCATTCCCAGCTTCTGGCAAACAGAGGCTAGGGACACCATCCCTGCCCATCCCAGCTAATAGCCATTGATGGACCTATCCTCCATGAACTTATTTAGTTCTTTTTTGAACCCTGTTATAGTCTTGGCCTTCACAACATCCTCTGGCAAAGAGTTCCATGGGTTGACTTTGCGTTGTGTGAAGAAATACTTCCTTTTGTTTGTTTTAAACCTGATGCCTATTAATTTCATGTGGTGATCCCTAATTCTTGTGTTATGAGAAGAAGTAAATAACACTTCCTTATTTACTTTCTGCATACCAGTCATGATTTTATAGACCTCTATCATATCCCCCCTTAGTCATCTCTTTTCCAAGCTGAAAAGTCCGTCTTATTTATCTCTCCTCATGCAGAAGCCATTCCATACCCCTAATAATTTTTGTTGCCCTTTTCTGAACCTTTTCCAATTCCAATATATCTTTTTTGAGATGGGGCGACCACATCTGCACACAGTATTCAAGTACACTGCCAGCTTTACTCATATTGACTCATTGGTCCCTTAGGGC